CCACACAGTCTGAGCACAAGTTCAAGCAGCAGTAGTATAAAGTTCACAGTTATAAGCAAAGCTAGAGGTAGTCACAACGGGCAAGTGAGGAGGAGGAGAGAGACTGAGAGGAGAGGCGATAGGAGGCGACGGATGAAGCTGCAGACACACGGGCAACAGGAGGCAGACTGGCACAGCGGCTACCGGACGAAGTCCCCGGACTACAAGTGCTGCTAGCGACACATCGGCATCCTCCATTCAGCTTCCCCAGATTGTCCTACTCCCCTTGGCACACACCCACTGCTACACCGCTAGCTCTCCTCCCCTTCCCCCCCCCCCCTTAGTATCACTCCACCGGCTCCACCACAATCACCCCCCCCTCAGCGGCAGCTGCAGCACAAGGAGACGGAGGAGGAGGAGGAGCAGGGAGTGGTACTGAGGAGGGTCACCCCCATACCCCTCACCCCCAATCCCTAAAGTAGGAGAATGGGGAGTAGGAGGGGTAGGGCGGTAGTAGAGGGACTGGGAACAGCGGGGAGGGCAGGGAAGGTAGGAAACGGGCCCACCACGGGCCTGGTAGGGACGCCCGAGCCGCGCGCATGCGGCCCGAGCCGCGCGCGGGTCGGGCGTCTCCCGTACGGGCCGCGCGACGGCCTGGCGCAGCCCGTACGGGCCGCGCGCGGGCCTGGCGCAGCCCGTACGGGCCGCGCGCGAGCCTGGCGCAGCCCGTACGGGCAGCGCGTGGGTCTGGCGCAGCCCGTACGGGCCGCGCGCTGCCTGTACGGGCCGCACAGAGGCCACGACGGGCGACGGGGGGCGACGCGGAGGTCCCCGTCGCCCGTCACAGCGCCTCCCAGGAGCGGCGCGCGGCGTGACGGGGCAGAAACCCACCGCGCGCCCAGAACCGCCGCGCGCCTCGGGGCGCACGGCGGGCAGAAAACCGCCGCGCGCCTCGGGGCGCACGGCGGTAAGGGAAAGTAGTAGTTGCAGCGGAAGGAACGTGGTTAGGCACACAAGCCAGGAGCGTACTGCTCTGATCACCATGTGAGAATAGGTAGGTAACGATAGTAGCCATAGCTAGGACTAACCTAGCTAGGCAAGAAGAAGTAAGGCAAAAGAGGAGGGTTGTACTAGCAAGCAATGGGATACAAATATGAAACCCTAAGGGGTTATACTCGCTATAGAGTACCCCACTGCAGGCTAGATAACAAATATGACATTCTGACACGAACTACCTCGCTGGCGGTCACCCGAGTCTTCAACGGTCCACGTCAACGCCATCACGATGAAACGGGTTGTTGCCGCGGGAGCTGACGTGTACGCAGTGGATATAGCACTAGTAGGAGAAGAGGAGCAGCCGAGCGATTTTCAGAAACTGTTGGCAGCGGTACCGCCCGTACTTCATGATCTGTTGAAACGGTACCCGGGGATTTTTCCACACGATTTACCGCAAGGACTGCCACCTCAGCGGGCGCATGACCATAGGATCGAGTTAGAACCGAGGGCACAGCCAACTGTACAGCGCCAGTTCAGACTGACACAGCCCGAGCTCGACGAACTAAGGAAGCAGTTAGATTATTTGTTAGAGAAGCAGTTTATCCGACCGAGCTCGTCACCGTTCGCCGCACCGATACTGTTCACACCGAAAAAAGACGGAGGATTTCGCATGTGCATTGATTACCGAGCGCTCAACAGAGTAACAGTCAAATCGCGATACCCCATCCCCCGCGCCGACGAACTGATCGACCAGCTGCGAACAGCACGGGTATTTTCGAAAATAGACTTACGGGGGGGTTACCATCAAATTCGGGTCGAACCATCGGACTGCGCCAAGACAGCATTTAGGACTAGGTACGGGTCATTCGAGTACACGGTGATGCCTTTCGGGCTGACCAACGCGCCCGCAATATTTCAGATGACCATGAACGAGGCGTTTAGGCCACTTTTAGATAAATGCGTGATAGTTTACCTCGACGACATCCTCGTTTACAGTCGCGACCAGCAGCAACACTTAGTCGATCTCGAAGCAGTGTTTAAAATTTTAGAGGAACATCGGTTACTCACCAAGGGCTCCAAGTGCGAGTTTTTTCGGGATAGGCTAGAATTTTTAGGGCTCCTTATTTCGGAGGCTGGGTTGAAATCGACCCCAAGAAGCTGGATGCCGTAAAAGCGTGGCATCCCCCGACGAACATCACGGACCTGCAGAGTTTTTTAGGGTTCGTTAATTACGTTCGTCGGTTCATCCCCGACATGGCACGATTAACAGCCCCGCTAACAGATTTACTACGCAAGGGGGTCGCTTTTACGTGGGGGGAGAAAGAGCATGCTGCCTTCTCTGCCCTGAAACATGTTCTCTGTTCACCACCCATCCTACGCATCGCTGACCCACATCGCCCCTTCGAAGTTGTTACAGACGCAAGCGACATCGCCATTGGAGCCGTACTGTTACAAGACTTCGGCAACGGCCTCCAGCCCATCGCCTACGAATCACGAAAACTGCATCCGCCTGAATGAAATTACCCGATACACGACCGCGAAATGCTCGCGATCGTGCATGCATTCAAGGTGTGGCGCTGCTACTTGACCGGCGTAGACGTAACAGTACGGACAGACCATCGATCCCTACAGTACCTCCGTGCACAGCCCCACCTCAACCCACGACAGATTCGGTGGCTCGATTTCCTCGAGTCAAATTTCCATTATACGGTCACCTATAAAAAAGGAGCCTCGAATATCGCCGACGCACTGACCCGCCCCACTGCCCAGATCCATGCGATACTACTCGCCCAGACCAGCCCGCTACTGACAGGACTATTTACCCACGGATATCAAACAGATCCATTCTTCACAGGAGGAAACTCGCAGCAATTCGCAGCAGCCAAGGGAGTCTATTACGTAAAAGCTGGGACCGAACGCATCTGGGTACCAGGGTACACACTACTACGGGAATTACTGTTACAGGAGGCACACGACGGAGTTACCTCGGGACATTTCGGAGTAGAGAAAACACGGCAGCAGCTGCAGCGGTATTATTACTGGCCCGAAATGTTGACCGACGTGCAACGACACGTGGCATCGTGTCCTACTTGTCAGATCATGAAGTCAACCCGGAAGCGGCCGGCGGGACAGTTGCAACCAATCCCACCTCCAGAGCGTGCTTGGCAGCAAGTGACGATGGACTTCGTCACGGGGTTACCGGCCGGGGCGAGTGGGAATGACGCAATCCTGGTCGTCGTCGATCGACTGACGAAAATGGCACACTTCGCAGCCTGGAAGAAATCAATCACAGCCGAAGAAACAGCCCGCCTCTTCATCTCTACCGTCGTTCGACTGCACGGGATACCAGCATCAATCATCAGCGACAGAGACACGAAGTTTACTTGCAACTTCTGGCGGAACCTGTGGCAGCAGTTCGGCACGCGCCTACAGTTCAGTTCATCGTATCACCCTGAAACCGACGGATAGACCGAACGGACAAACCAGACCATGGAACAGCTCATTAGGGCCACGTGTGATGATCCTAACACGTGGGAACAGCAACTGCCACTCATCGAATTCGCATACAACAACGCCCCATCCGCCACGACCCAACATTCGCCATTTTACCTGAATTACGGACAAGACCCAACAGTACCCATGACCCCGAATCCCGACAACCCCGTTGCACGCTCACAACAGTTCGCTGAGATTTTGCAAGCAGCACGAACCAGGGCAGCAGAAGCAATCAAAAAATCAAACATCATCGCTAAACGCAACGCTGACCGCCACCACAGACCTGTCACTTACCAGCCCGACGACCTCGTTTTACTCGACACTCAAAACCTCCGCCTGCCCATCACCCCCAAACTCCGCCCTCGATACTGCGGGCCATTTCGAATTAGCCATATGATAACACCTGTCACCGCGCACCTCCTCCTCCCTGCTGACTGGTACGTCAGCCCCTCGTTCCACGTCAGCCTGCTTCGCCCTTACGTACCATCCACAAGCCAACTCCCACGAAATCGCCCAGCCAGCATGGCTCGTCCGCCAACCGAACCAATCATCATCCCCGACAAAATCCTGAGCCACAGAGTTCGCGACCCTCGAGGAGCCCGAAAGATCGAGTTCCTGCTCCGCTGGAAAGACCGTACACCCACCGAGGACAACTGGGTTCCCCTGGACAGAATTGAAAACCACCCTGTTCTCACCGAATATCTGCGCAGCCGAAACTTCAGGGACGTCCACGCTCTTTCGTAAAAAGGACCTCCTTAGGAGGGGGGGTAGTGTAAGGAAAATCCCTTTTCCTTACTTCGCATCCCTGCTCAACGCGTACATCACTGTAGCACCTCAGTCAGCACCGTTACCACTCGCGATCCTCGCATCGACAATCATCCCGCCATCTTCGCACATCGCACCCCGACCTCACGGCTCGGCTGGTAACCCGCGCTCCGGGCCTCCACTTCGACACTTTCCCAACCTCAGTCCCAGGCTCGTTGCACGACAACCACAGTCCATTACCGTTACCACTGTAGTTTCGCTATATATTCTTCGCTCATGCCTTCGCTCATTGTATTCTTGCTTCGATAGTGCAATTCTCGTTCGTCCACTCAATTGCACTCGTAACAGATAGAATAGATAGTACATACATAAGAATTGGAGCATTCAGGTGATGTGGATTTCCGTCCTGCACGTGTGACTTTCAAATACCTCAAACTGCCTCATCCTTTCTGCCTTTGGTTGGGTGTGACCGATTCGAGAAAGACACTTTGCTAGGCTGTCTAGTTTCGCACACGATTTTCCTGTGCAGCCGAGATTGTCCCAATCCCGCCACCACTCCCGCCACCACTCCCGCCACCACTCCCGCCACCACTCCCGCCACCACTCCCGCCTTTGTGCCCGCCACAACCGTCGGCCATCATGTCGCATTGCGTGTCGCGCACGCTTCCAGGGGCTCAAATGCTCGCGCCATTGCGTCGCGCCTCCCCTGCCCTGCCGCCGCCCCTCGCTCTCACCGCGCCACATGCGTTCCGTCACGCCGCCAGTCAACGCGAGTCAACGCGTCGGCGGGTGGCGGTCAACGCGGCGGCCAACGGTCCACCGCCGCCAGAGGCCGCGTCGCCGCGCCCGTCGGAGCCGGAGCCGGCCGGCGAGCCCCGCGGCCCGTCGAACGCGGCGGCGCCATCCAGCGGAGCGGCGGCGCCCGTCGCGGCGTCGTGGGCGGCGGCGCTAGCAGGCGTGGAGGTGATGGCGTTGGACGGCACGCGAGTGGCGCTGACATCGCTGTGGGTGACGAGGCGCGTGGTGGTGGCGTGGACGCGGCACTTCGGGTGAGACAGGCGCTGCTGAAGCACCCAGCTGCGCGCGCTGAGGGGGTGGGGGGTGGCTGCTGGGGGTGGAGGTGGGGGGAGAGCGGGTAGGGCGAAGTTTAAAGAAGCCATTTCATCCCAATCGTACCATCATCATCCCTTATCCATACCAACCTCCTCCCCGCATCCCGTCCGTTTCCATGCCATGCCATGCGTTGCCATGCCATGCCATGCCATGCCATGCCATGCGTTGCCATGCCATGGTGTGGTCACACCTCGCGTGCCTATGTGTGTGGCATGGCTTGTGACCGCGTTGATTGATCTCCAATTCCTTCCACTCTGTGATCTCGCCCTTGCATTCACTATGCACTGCTCGCACCTCTCGCTTCTTGCCCTCCATGTGCATTGCCCTCCCCTGCCCATGTCGCCCTGCCAGCTGTCTCCTCTGTCGCAAGCTAACCACCATGCTGGCCAATGAGAAGGTGGGGCAATGAGAAAGTGGGGCAATGAGAAGGTGGGGCAATGAGAAGGTGGGGCAATGAGAAGGTGGGGCAATGAGAAGGTGGGGCAATGAGAAGGTGGGCGACTTGTTGCTTTCTGCCTCCACGCTTGCTGTCTCGTTGCTGCGTGCTCTCTGATGAAACTCCTATCGCTTGGCAGCTGAAGTTTCTCTGATCGCTCTACCTCTGCATCTCTGCCATGTCCTCGTTATTGTCAGGATGCGTTTCAAGCAGCAGGCGTGACTCTCATCATCATTGGGCCGGGCTCCATCCAACATGTGAGCTGCCACGCCTGCTGTGTTGCACTCAATGGTGATGCATTGCACCTTGTCGCACTAAATGGTGACGCATTGCACCTTGTCGCACTCAATGGTGACGCATTGCACCTTGTCGCACTCAATGGTGACGCATTGCACCTTGTCGCACTCAATGGTGACGCATTGCACCTTGTCGCACTCAATGGTGACGCATTGCACCTTGTCGCACTCAATGGTGACGCATTGCACCTTGTCGCACTCAATGGTGACGCATTGCACCTTGTCGCACTCAATGGTGACGCATTGCACCTTGTCGCACTCAATGGTGACGCATTGCACCTTGTCGCACTCAATGGTGACGCATTGCACCTTGTCGCACTCAATGGTGACGCATTGCACCTTGTCGCACTCAATGGTGACGCATTGCACCTTGTCGCACTCAATGGTGACGCATTGCACCTTGTCGCACTCAATGGTGACGCATTGCACCTTGTCGCACTCAATGGTGACGCATTGCACCTTGTCGCACTCAATGGTGACGCATTGCACCTTGTCGCACTCAATGGTGACGCATTGCACCTTGTCGCACTCAATGGTGACGCATTGCACCTTGTCGCACTCAATGGTGACGCATTGCACCTTGTCGCACTCACTCCGTCTCATACTGCGAATGCTCACTTCACTTCTTGTTTCTTCTTCATGCCGCCCGTCTCAACTTGCTGTGGTGCAGGCGCAGCAGTTTGTTGATCAAACCAACTTTCCAGGAGGTGAGCACATGGGCCGCTCTGCCTCTCTGCCTCTCTGCCTTCCTCGTGCCTGCACTCGGCCCTTGCTGCCACACTGTTGCCTCTCTGCTCTCCCCACAGCACCAAATGCTCCCACTTGCCTTAGGCCTTTTTTAGTATCCAATAGCACTGTGCATTCTAAAGGTCGGTCCTCCCAAGTTGTCAAGCTCGTCCTCCCCACCTGCAAGTTGTCAAGCTCGTCCTCCCCACCTGCAAGTTGTCAAGCTCGTCCTCCCCACCTGCAAATTGTCAAGCTCGTCCTCCCCACCTGCAAGTTGTCAAGCTCGTCCTCCCCACCTGCAAGTTGTCAAGCTCGTCCTCCCCACCTGCAAGTTGTCAAGCTCGTCCTCCCCACCTGCAAGTTGTCAAGCTCGTCCTCCCCACCTGCAAGTTGTCAAGCTCGTCCTCCCCACCTGCAAGTTTTCAAGCTCGTCCTCCCCACCTGCAAATTATCAAGCTCGTCCTCCCCACCTGCAAGTTGTCAAGCTCGTCCTCCCCACCTGCAAGTTGTCAAGCTCGTCCTCCCCACCTGCAAGTTGTCAAGCTCGTCCTCCCCACCTGCAAGTTGTCAAGCTCGTCCTCCCCACCTGCAAGTTGTCTCTGCTTCAAGTTGTCATCCACCCCCCCAACGGTGCAACCCCATCCCACACATGCGACGGCCATCAGAGGTGTATGCGGACCGCCAGCGTGCATCATACGAGGCGCTGCAGTTCGTGTCGGGCCTCTCCACCGTCTTCTCTCCCACCGTCAGTCCCCTCCCCTCTCCGCCCTCGCTTCCCCTCTCCGCCCTCGCTTCCCCTCTCCGCCCTCGCTTCCCCTCTCCGCCCTCGCTTCCCCTCTCCGCCCTCGCTTCCCCTCTCCGCCCTCGCTTCCCATCTCCGCCCTCGCTTCCCCTCTCCGCCCTCGGACGAGTGCCTTTGTTCCAAATCACTAATCATGCTGCTGCTCTTGATGGCTTGATGGGATGAGTGCTTCTCCATTTTCCATGTTTTGCCAATCTGACCCCACCCCTCCCATCTGACCCGCCCCTCCCATCTGACCCCGCCCTGCCCATCTGCCCGTGATGCTGCAGGCGGCGCTGAGTGTGGCGAGGGCGCGCATGGAGGGCTTCCAGCAGGACTGGGGGCTCTCGCTGCAAGCTGACACTGTGCTCAGGGCGGCGTGGTGAGTGCTGGGGGGGGCGTGGTGAGTGCTGGGGGGGGCGTGGTGAGTGCTGGGGGGGGCGTGGTGAGTGCTGGGGGGGGGCGTGGTGAGTGCTGGGGGGGGCGTGGTGAGTGCTGCGCCGGGGGTGATGGCAATGTGCAGGAGTGCAGTTGACAACGGCGCAGCATTACGCAAACTGCCTTTGTCTATACGTTGCCTAACGTCAAGCCATGCAGGTTCTGTTAAAGTGAATTTGAACTGCATGCCAACACTGCATGTGAACGGCCTGCACATGCCGTGGGCTGATATTCATAGATTGTTAAGAATTCCCCTCCTGTTCTGTGCATGCCGTGTGTGCCTTCCTCATGTGCCACGCCACCATCACAGGCAGCAGGGTGGCATCATAGTGGCGGGACCGGGCATCGACAACCTGCTCTTCCTGCACAAGGTGCCCTCACATGCTTCTCACCTGCTTCTCACATGCTTCTCACATGCTTCTCACATGCTTCTCACATGCTTCTCACATGCTTCTCACATGTTTCTCACATGTTTCTCACATGTTGCTCACATGTTTCTCACATGCCCCTCACCTGCCCCTCACCTGCCCCTCACCTGCCCCTCACTTGCCCCTCACCTGACCCTCACCGCGTTCTGTTTGCTAGCTTATGGGGCCTCTGGTTGCATCACGCACGCGACACACATGTGGGCATCACACGGCTAACAGCCACCCTCACCCCCTCTCTCCCATCCCCGCAGGACAAGGAGGCGGGCGATGAGCCGGATGTGCGCGACATCATTGCTGCCGCCCGCCTACCCCTGCCGTGATATAGCTTTGTCCGTGCTGGTTACGATAAGGGTTAGTGTAAAAAAAGAACATTTTTATATTTCTTTATATAATTTGACTGTAGTTGTTTGTTTCAGCTGTTGGTGGTGCACCTTGTGTAAACCTTGCCCCTTGCGTGTATTCTTCTTGATCATTCTTACGGTATCAAATCCCTTTTTGCTCTTATAACTTTCCAAACTCCTAACTCCTCCTATTCTCCTACTTTAGCGTGGTATCTGACGAAAATATCCAAAGGTTGCTTTCTCCCCGACGGCTTCGTCGCATGCCCCCCTGCTCGTCGTGATCTGCTACAGCTTGAGCGCGATGGTCACAGCTGGCGCGCGGGCACGTCTACTGGAGCGCGGGCGCGCCAGCAGGTGCCGCGCAAGGGCTGTTGCCGCCGCTGCTGCGTGATCGCTCCGCTGGCACCCGTGCGCCTCTGGTGGAACGTGGTGTCAAAACTGTGTTTAGACAGGATATTGTTAGGCTCTGGTGGGGCTAGCCTTAGGGGGTACAACTTTCTAGGGTTTCCTATTTGTAATCTCATCCTGTTAGTTCATCTCATTCCTGTTTGGTACATTCTTAGGGCGTATTCCTACGACCTCCTATCAAGAAACCTCCTATCAAGATTGTACATTTTGCCTGGTATAAATAGCGAGAGATTTTGGGTTTAGGGAATTTTCCAGTGAGAGCTTGATAGGAGGGTTTCTTGATAGGAGGATAGGAATACGCCCTTAATATGGTATCAAAGACTAGGTTAGAACCTATAAGCCCTACCTACTGCCGTACTCACTGCCGAACCTACTGCCCCATACTGCCCCACACGCACGTTCCCCCACGCTGCCCCTAGCGCGCTGCTTTTCGTGCGCCTCGCATTGCCGTGTGCCCCGTCCCGTTCGCACGCGTGCGCTGTCCTGCCCTGCCTCGCATTGCCGTGTGCACCACGCGCTGCCCTGCATTGCCCTGCGTGCCGCGTGCAGCTCTTCACACTGCCCCGCACGTGCCACCGTTGCCCCTGCCTGCGCGCGCCACTACTGCCCCTGCCCATGCGACGCTTCTGACTGCGCGCCGCTGCTGCTCGCGTGCAGCCCCTGCCCTGCGCGCCGCTGCTACTCGGTGCCGCCATTGCTGACACGCCACCGCAGCCCGCGCGCCGACGCTGCCTCGTGCGCAGCTGCTGCCGGCCGCCGCCGCTGCCTGTGCGTTGCGCTGCCCCGTGCGCCACCACTACCAGGCGCCGCTGCTGCAGCAACTACAGCCGCAACTGCTGCCGCTGCTACAACCGTCGCTGCTACTTCCGCTACAGCAGCCACTGCTGCTGCTATAACTGCCGTCGCTGATGTTGCTGCAGCCGCCGTCCCTGCCGCTACAGCCGCTGCCACTGCAGCTGCCGCCGCTGCTGCCACTGCAGCTGCTGCCGCTGCCATTTCAGTCGTCGCCCCTGCCGCTACAACTGTCGTCGCCCCTGCCGCTACAACTGTCGTCGCTGCAGAATCACCAGCCGCTATAGTTGCTGCGCCGCTGCCGCTACAATCATTGCCACTGCCGCTGCAGCCGGCACCGCTACTGTTCCCGCTGCTGCCGCCTCTGCCGCTACAACCGCCGCTGCCGCTGCAACTGGTGCCACCACTACAGCTCCAACCGTTGCCCGTGTCAGAAGTATAGGCAGGAATAAATGAACTATGGAAGAGTTGGGTACAAATATCAAACCCTAGAAGGGGTTGTACCCCATATTGGCCACCCCACTCCAGCGTAAACCTATATAGCATACATAATCTAACACACCCCCATAGGCAAAGTGGGGGAGACCAAGGGGTCACAAGTCCAGTCAAGAGAGGCAAAGCAAGCTCAGGGTGGATCACAACGTCACCACACACTCTGAGCACAAGCAAAGGGCCACAAGGCCAGTTCGCATGCAGAGATATATATGCAACAACAACAGTACAGTGATCTCTACCTAGCAGAGCAAACAAGCAGGTATATATATATATATATATATAGATCACAGTATAAGCAGAGTCTACAGCAAGTGAGGAAACGTGGGCACAAGGCCCAGCAAGGTACAAAAGCGCTGATGATCACCAGGCGGAAGTGCCTTGGTGAATATATCAACAGTGTTGGCCCGAGTGGCCACGTAGGTTAGACGAAGTTGACCACGCTGCTGCAACTCTCGAGCAAGGAAGTAATGCAGAGCGATGTGCTTCGTTCTGTGCTCCAGTCTGTGCTCCTCACACAAGGCAATGGCGGCCTTGTTGTCGACGTACAGCACCGGAGGAGAACGAGGCCGCTCTCCCAGGTCAGTCAGCAGGTAGGTGAGCCAGCGTAACTCCTGTGCAGCCATGGCTGTGGCGTAGATCTCAGCCTCACAACTGGAGCTGAGAACAGAAGACGAGCGTGTAGAACGCCAAGAGACTGAACCAGAGCCAAGGCTGAAGGTGTAACCCTGTGACGACCGCTGAGTAGCCTGGTCGTCAACCCAAGAAGCGTCCGAGTGACCAGTGAGGACAACCTCACTCCGCCCTCCATGCACGAGCCCCATGCCTGATGTACTGCACAAGTAACGTAGTACCCTCTTTTCAGCATCCATGTGCACCTTTCGGTGCCGACCAGAAGCCACGTAGCGAGCCAGAAGGCCAAGAGGGTACGCGAGGTCAGGACGAGTGCAGGTACATGAGGCAGCCAACTAGCTCTGGGTAAGGACCACTCGGCTCTACGGACTCGTCCGAAGGTGGAGCTGAGAGCGAGTGACCTGTAGCCAAAAGAGTGGCCTGTGCCGAGGACCAAGTGAAGCCGAAGAGCTGAAGGACCTGCTGCACCATGTGTGACCAAGTCAGGGTGATGGTGCGGCGTGCTCTGTCCCGGGTGATATGCAAGCCAAGGTAACTGCGCAGCTCACCCAGGTCTGTGCACGTGTGTCTCTTTTGCAGCTCCGACTTCACCAGGGTGAGAGCCTCAGTGTCAGCAGTGGCAAAGACCAAGTCATCGACGTACACGAGGATGTAGAACGGCGGCAGCAAAGTGTCGGTGCGAAGAAACATCGACGGGTCAGTAGTCCCAAGAGCCGCTAGTGTCGTCCTCAGTGTGTCGTGCCACTCACACGGCGCCTGGCGGAGACCGTAGACCGGCCGCCGGAGACTCCACTGGGTACCAGGAGGGAATGACCCAGTGAAGCCAGGCGGGCGGCGCAGCCATATCTCCTCATGCAGGCTGCCCTGCAAGAAAGCTGTGCCGAAGTCAAGAGAGTGAAGCTCGTAGTCACGCCGAGCAGCAACGTGCAGCAGCACCCGAAGAGTGGTCATCTTCGGGGTGGGGGAGAAGGTCTGGAAGAAGTCAACCCCCTCTTGCTGTCTGAAGCCTCGAGCAACGTAACGAGCCTTGAAGACAGGCGGGGAACCTGGCGGCCGCTTCACCCTGAAAATCCACATGCCACTGATGATGTTCGCCCCGGGAGGGGGAACCTCGTCGACGTAGGTGCCTGTGGACTTCCAGGATGCCATCTCTGCATCCATGGCTGTCTGCCACTGAGAGGAGTATTCACCTGCGATCGCCTCAGCGTAAGAGCGCGGGGTCGGGATGTCTGGAGCATCCGGGTCTCCCTCAGGGCCAAACAGCATGGACACGAGATGAGGCGCAGCGGCTGCAAGACACTCAAGGTCCTCCTGCCTGTCCTCAAGGACGTCCGTGCCAAGAGCACACCCACCCCCGACGGACGGAGGATAGACAGACTCAGACTCAGCAACAAGACTAGCGGCGTAGTCTAGACGACAGGCAGCAGCGAAGTCAACCAGCTCAGCGACCAAGGCAGACGCAGCAGCAGACTCAAACGACGGGTTAGTGACAACAGTGGCTAGGAGACGCGTGATAGTAGAGTGAGCAGCACGGGTGCGGTCAGACTCAGGCTCAGGGACGGTAGGCAGAGAAGACGCAGGAGGGGAAGGCAGGGGAACACGGTGCGGAGGAGAGGAAGGATGACGGACGACAAGGCGAGTGCCGGTGACAGTCTGCTGACACGAACGAGGGACACTACGACCGTAATGACCAGACCGGACAGACGAAACAGGACGCGACGCAGGCTCACGACGCTCAGTAAGACCCCCTGATTGCTCAGTGTAAGGAGAAGGAGCAGGCAATGGTGAGCCAGGCTGTAACGGAAGACCAGTAGACGAAGGGAGACAAACAAACCTGGCGAAGCACAAAGTCAGGCGGTGGCTGAGACGACGGAGCAAAGAACTGGCGCGGCTGGGCAGTGTCACCAGCACCAGCAGCTCCGGTACCTCCAGCAGCTCCAGAACCCTCACCTCCAACTCCTCCAGGACCAGCTCCACCAGCAGCAGCACCCCCAGAACCGGCACCTCCAGTCCCAGGGTCTCCATCCTCAGTGTCTCCAGCAGCAGCACCCCCAGCTCCAGGGTCGCCAGCAGTAGTAGCCTCCGGCTCAGCAGCACCTCCAGCCCCAGCAGCTCCAGTACCTCCAGTACGAGCACCTCCGGGACCAGCACCACTCCCAGCTCCAGTGACAGCAGCAAAAGTACCTCCAGCGGCAGAGCCTCGAGCTCCAGAAGCACGACCCTGACGGCGACCGTACCAGTTGTGCAGCTGCTGTGAGGTGAGAGGCACACGCGGACGAAGGCGGCTACTCCAAGGCGACCGCACAACAGCAGACTCAGAACCCTCAGCGCCAGCACCCGCAGCAGCTCCAGAACCTCCAGCAGCAGCACCCTCAGCAACTCCAGAACCTCCAGCGCCAGCACCCTCAGCAGCTCCAAAACCTCCAGTAGAAACGACTCCAGTAGTAGAGTCACCAGCGCCAGCGCCTCATGCAGTAGGGCCCCTAGCTCCAGCAGCGCGACCCTGACGGCCAGCGTACCACTCACGCAGCTGCTGTCGGGAGAGAGGGGGTCGACGACTAGAGTGCAGCGGCGAGGCACCAGCGGAGCGACTGCGGAGACGGCCGCTCCAGGGAGACTGCTCACCAGACTCCTCAGTGCCCCTAAGCGCAGCA